GAGCCTGACTTTAACAAAGAGATAATCAATAACTCCTGGGGATTAAGTGACAACATGGGTGCAGCAAGAAGGGAAAGGGCACAAATTTAACTTTTAAATATACTTTGATATTTGTTTGGCAGAGTTCAGGCCAACCCCAGGCTTCTGTCCTTGCCAGACAAGTAAGCTGATGATATTCAAAGAAAAAAATAAATAAATATAAATTCAAGCAGAGCTCCATACCACAGTTTTCCTTCAAGTCATTGGCCGGCAGGCAGTTCCCGACCACCAGAAACAGAAACTTTGGCTCCAAGGCAAATGAAACAAACCAAAAAAAGTATTTCCACTTACAGCATGAAAATACAGAAACTTCATCAAAGAAAGAAAACTATCAAAGAAGTCTACTTCCAGCAAAACTGAGGTAGCACTGCTTTCTCTGCATTCAATGCTTGCGTAGTTCTCAGTATGTGTTCTTAAAAAATGCTCCCTTGACTGACAGGTGCAGCATGTTGATGGATAAAGTCAACATGAAATGCAATCGGTCAAAGAAGGAATGAGCAAGAAGTGAGGGAAATCAGAGTTCTGCATAAATTAGCTTAAAAGGGGGTTGTCACCAGACTACAAATGCTCGTGGCTGGCCTTGGCTCTCCAAGAGCTCTAAATCGCCTGGAAATTAATGCAGTGTGATTAATAGTTAACACTCCTATTCAAATCTGTGTAGATATTTAAAAATAATTATTACTGGCTGGGGGCGGTGGCTCACGTCTGTAATCCCAGCACTTTGGGAGGCTGAGGTGGGCGGATCATGAGGTCAGGCGATCGAGACCATCATGACTAACATGGTGAAACTCCGTCTCTACTAAAAATACAAAAAATTACCTAGGCGTGGTGGCGGGCGCCTGTAGTCCCAGCTACTCGGGAGGCTGAGGCAGGAGAATGGTGTGAACCTGGGAGGCAGAGCTTGCAGTGAGCCGAGATCAAGCCACTGCACTCCAGCCTGGGCAACAGACCAAGACTCTGTCTCAAAAAAAAAAAAAATTTACAACCTAATTTCAACCATGCAAATCGCACTACACACAGTACAGACCTGCCCTGAGAAACAATATGCAAACCTGAGATCTGGCACTGTATCATTTTATAATGTTAATTCACCGTAATGGTCCTATCCCCTCTCCCTGCTCTATGCCCTCCCCTACCAAAAAAAAGCCTAATTTGTGCAAGAAATGGCAGGCTTATTCTATCTGAAGGCTTCAAAAAAAGATAACATGTAGGCAGGTTCAAATACTTTGGGAGATTCCCCCCAAAAAAGCAATAATCAAAATAACCAAAAAATGAAGAAAGTGCCTACAACATGATATTTAGAACCCTTTCAGATACAAGGCAGAGAAAGGTGTGTTGGGAGAAAAGCTGACTGTTGGGAAAAAACGCTGAGGCAGGGCTTGCATGTCTGACACAGTGTAAAAGAGTCTTGGAACATGTCCTGGGTCCAGGGTCTAAAACCCCTTGTGGCCTTTGGAACACCAGCTCTGTGCTAAAGGGTGGAAGGCTGCCCTGCCGCACCATAATCTAAGCCCAGGGCATAAAACCCCTCGTGGCTTGGATGGAATCCAGGGCTCGGCGTCAAATGGAATGTGACCTCTGGAATGTGTCTAGACTTGCTGGCTCCTTGCTTCTAGCACTCCCAGGCTCATAGATTGATTGTATCTTAAACTAGAAGAACATGTTTCCCATTATCTCAAGTAGCAGAACATGTTCCATATGCTTCAAAGAAAAATGCTAAACTGTCTCAGCTGTAGATCATGTGCTTGATAAACGACTTTCTTCCAACCCCTACATCCTCACCACCTGCTTTGTTTGATCTCCAGTAAATAGTGCCAGCTTCCAGAGCTCGGGGCCTTCGCAGCCTCCATACTGGCGTTGGCCACCTGGTCCCACTTTCACTTTTGTCTTTTCTCATTCCTTTGACTTCGCCAGACTTCGTAGCCCCCACGGCCTGGGGTCGAGTCTGATCACTCCAACAGAGGTGTAAAGTAGAAAATATCCAGATCTTCAGTAGTTTCCCAAAAGGTTCAATTCCTCAGCCACAGGGCAGCAGGCAGATCCTTGCTGCTGTGCCTGGGACAGAGCCCTAAGTCTGCTCCTCAGGACACAAGCCCTTGGGCCCTGAGCTGAGTGCACTTCTCCCTTCTCTTCTCTTTTCCTTTGCTCCATTTCGCACTCCACAAAGGTGTCAAAGAGACTTGACCAGGCCTCATCTTCACTGTGGTTGTTGCTGAGGTCAGGGCCAACCACCTGAGTGAAGTTAAGGAACATGTTCCAACTGTCCTGGGAGATAGCCTTGATCCTCAAGGGGTTCTCTTTTAGGAAGTTTAGCCATTGGTCCAATACCAGAGAATTTTTCTGGGTAGAGACTAGTTTCCACAGGACAATGGTTATTTGCCGATGCAGTGACCACTGCCCTTCTTCGGAGTCCAGGCCAAACTGAAATGTAAACTGGTAGAGATCCTTGACTTTATCCTCTAGTTTGGCTTCTGTTAAGAGGCTAGGGAACCGTGCACAGATTCTGTCACTGCTGTCTGCACTTAATGCTTTGCAGCCATCAGAAAACTCCTTTCTGGTGAATTTGCACATGGTTGCAGCCTGGAACTTCCAGGCCAAGAGCAGCACTCGAAATTCTGTGGGGTCGACACATAGGTCATTGCAAAAGCGCTCCATGCCTTCCTCCAAAATTGCATCTTCCCACTCATCCTTGTAGCACCTGAACAGTTCTTCCAACCCCTGCAAGGAAGACTCCTCAACATTGGACTTGGACTCCCTCCCAGCATCTCCCGAGGACTCCTGGGACGTCAGCAGCTGGCAGGCCTCAGTGGCAGCCTCGGCCTTCTTGGTCCTGTTGACAAGGCTATCTTCCACTTGGCTTGCCACAGAGTGGTACTTGCTCCTCACAGTGGCCTGTACCCACCTACCTTGTGACTCGTTGCTGGGGTCATGGTCTGCATTCTTGCTGCCCAGGGTGGATGAGGGATTCTTGAGCTTGGTTACACAGTGGCCCATGGTGCTGGTGGCCTGACCTTTAGAGTGGCCCCCTCTGGATCGGATACCCTTGCTTCCGCTGGCCCATGTACCTCAACATGCCATCAGTCGGAGGAGCCAGCCAACAGCTGCTCCAGAGGTTCCTCCAGTCGAACCCCTTCTGGAAACAACAGTGGCCTGGTGGGTCCAAACCACCTACCATTCCTACTGGGGTTTCCAGGCTCCTTACCGCGCCGCTGCTGCCTTTTCTTCCGCCACTGCCACCGCCTCCTCTTCATCTGCCAAGTTTTTGCCTTTTAATAGGGAAAGTGAACCATTGATGTTTGTCACTATACGTGTGTTAAGTATTTTTCTGGTTATTTTTGCTTATTTTGTGGTCTTATTTCCTTTGTTCTCCTTTCTTTACATTTGTTGAACATCTGATGATTTTCTTAGTTCCCTTTCTCCTTGGATAAAATGAAAATTCTGCACTTTTCCTGAAAATACTTGTCAGTGATTTTTTATATATTTTTGTGACTTTGAAATATTGATTAAATAAAAATTAGGGAGAAAATAGTAAGAAAGGAAGGGAGGGAGGGAGGAAGGAAGGAAGGAAGGAAGGAAGGACAATGAACTCTGTGCCTGAGTGTTGACACTTTTTCTGGAGTTCCTAGTCTTGGATATGAAGTACACAGATTTCTTGGAAATCGATTTGCCCTCTCTCTCTTGTATTCAATCCTCCTCTCTCCACTATAGTTGACCCTTAAATAACACAAGTTTGAACTACATAGGCCCACATTGATGTGGATTTCTTCCAATAAAAGTTATACTGAGTGTGCCTGCTTCTCCTGCCACCTGCTGTACCTTTGCTACCCGAGACAGCAAGACCAACCTCTCCTCTCCTTCCTCCTCCTCTGCCCTCTGTGTGTGAAGAGAAAGACCTTTGTGATGATCCACTTCCATTTAATGAGTGTACGTGAAATAACTGTTACGTTATTAGTAAGGCTTCCAGTCAACAGCAGGCTATTAGGAGTTAAGTTTTGGGGGAGTCAAAAGTTATACATGGATTTTAGACTGTGAGGGAGGTTGGTGTCCCTAACCCCCATGTATTCAAGGGTCAGTTGTACTTTCTCCCTTTTCCTTACTTACATATCAGAATGCTCTCTGTCCTTAAATGATGAAAACCTTTTCTATTGCTTTATTTCTATTACCTATTCTTATTTCCATAGTTTCTCATCTTCTTTACAAAAAGTTTTAAGTAATTTATTTGGCCAGACACAGTGGCTCACTCCTGTAATCCCAGCTCTTTGGGAGGCAGAGGCAGGCAGATCACTTGAGGTCAGGAGTTTGAGACCAGCCTGGCCAACATGGTGAAACTCCATCTCTACCAAAAATACAAAAATTAGCCAGGCCTAGTGGGCGCCTGTAATCCCAGCTACTCAGGAGGCTGAGGCAGAAGAATTTCTCAAACCCAGGAAGGGGAGGTTGCAGTGAGCCAAGAATGTGCCGCTGCACTCCATCCAGCCTGGGTGACACAGAAGACTCGGTCTCAAAAAAATAAGAAAGAGAAAGGAAAGAAACAAAAGGAACGAGGGCTGGACTGTGACTGTATGTGGCTGATAAATTGCTATCGACCTCATCTGTTCCGTGTCAAGTGTCCTGTGTTTGGTCACCATGTACCATTTAGGGCAGGGATTCCCTCCTTCACCAGTGGGGTGATAGGAGGTTATCACCACCACTCCCTCCTCTCCCACGGGAATCTAGAGCAGCCTTTCGTGCCTTTCCCTTTTTCTCACTTATACCTGCTCTTCCTGTCCTTACCTCCCAAAACACTTTTTGTATTATGTCTCTGGTTATTTCATGATTCGTTGCAGACATTTTCTTCCATTTGGAGGGCAGCATGTTTTCTCACACAGATCTTTGGGCCCTGTCCTTTTAGTGCTGCTGGGCTTTTCACTTCCCCCAGAGGGTTTTGTTGGCATAATCCCTTATTGAGGAGGAATTTTTAGTTTCAGGAGTCAGTGACCTTCAAGGATGTGTCTATAGATTTCTCTTGGGAAGAGTGGATTCAAGCAGATTCTGCTCAGAGGATGACCATGTATGGGGAGGTGATGCTGGAGAACTACAGGAACCTGTTCTCACCGGGTAAGGACTTCTTATAACTCAAAACCCACCTCTTCATACCTTTCCCCCTCAATCCTGTGTGACCCCTGAAATTTATGAATTTGGACTCGAAATCCCTGATCATAAGGCATTGTTTTAGGGTGTTTGCTTGGTGTCCTCTCTTTCAAGGTGGAAGACTGAAATTTTCTGTAGAGAATGGAAAATGGGGAACTTCATAAGCCACACCTTCCTTGTTTCAGAAGCCATGAAGGAGAAAGGATCAGAACTGTGCTAGGATTGGCTTTTAGACTCAGTTCAGAACCCAAAGTTAATGTCTTTCCTCTCAAGCAGGAAATCACCTTTCCAAACCCAGTGTGACTTCCCAGCTGGAAGGAGAAGAACTGAGCCTGATGAAAACAGAACTGCCCGACGGTGGCTTTCCAGGTAAGTGCCAGGCTGCACAGACTTGTTACATGCGTGTGTCTCTTGGAGGAAAATCACTTCAGAGATTGTTGGGTCTCTGGGGAGACTAGAGCTGCTGGATGTGTGCTCTCAGGTGACACCTCCGCATTACTGATGGGCCTCATTTCTCTAGGGCTCCCTTATGTCATCTTGCAGGGAGGTGGTGGATTATGAGGAGTAAATGAGTTGTTACATATATGGTACTTACCCACTGCCTGGAACATACTGAGCATTTGGTAAATGTTAGCAACCACTATGTCGTCTTCCGTCTTCCTCTGCACTCTGAATACAATCCCTGTCTTTACACATCTTCTCTGGGCTTGTACTCTCTTTCATGAGTGTTTCCTCTCAACCATAACATATATGCATAGCTTCCTTTCCTTCATTCATGTAAATATTTGTAAGCTTCTTCTCCTTCAAAGGAAACTAACATTTCTCTTCCTCTGCGTTGTGTGAGAGAGTTTTATACAGTCTTCATTTAAAAACATGAAAAATGATGTTAGCCTTGTTTTCATTTCTAGCAGCCTTACATTGTATATATTTTCTTTCTCATTCCCAGAATTCCAATCTGCATTACTACCCATTCAATGCTATTTACCTCAAAATGTTGAATGCTTCTTTGTTATCTGGTTTCTAATCCTCATCACAACTTAAGTTTCTGTTTTAGGTGTTATTACTGACTTTTCTCTGCAAAAAAAAAAAAAAAAAAAAAAAATGCATTTTACATCTTTGTCTTCTCTACCATGTGCAAAAGTACCAATCATGTATTTTTTTTTTTCTTGAGATGGAGTCTTGCTGTGTCACCTAGGCTGGAGTACAGTTGTACAATCTCAGCTCACTGCAAGCTCTGCCTCCCGGGTTCACGCCCTTCTGCTGCCTCAGCCTCCTGAGTAGCTGGGACTAAAGGTGCCGCCACCACACCCAGCTAATTTTTTGTATTTTTAGTAGAGACGGGGTTCCACTCTGTTAGCCAAGATGGTCTCGATCTCCTTACCTCGTGATCTGCCTGTCTCGGCCTCCCAAAGTGCTGTGATTACAGGCATGAGCCACCATTCCCGGCCCCAATCATTTCTTTATATATATGTTTTTAAATTAAAGAGATAGGCAAATATTTAATCTCTAAATAGTATAAAGCTGTCTAAGGTAAAGCAATGAAAGAAATCATTAAAGGAACACAATTATAGGGAAAACATTGCCCATAACCATCACTGCTGGTTTCCCATCAGTTTTTTAAAGAATGGGATTCTAGGAGAGAAAACTTTGGGTCAAAGGATATATCCTTTTTTTTTTTTTTTTTTTTTTTTTTTTTGAGACAGAGTCTTGCTCTGTCGCCTGGGCTGGAGTGCAGTGGTGTGATCTCAGCTCACTGCAAGCTCTGCCTCCCGGGTTCATGCCATTCTCCTGCCTCAGCCTCCCAAGTAGCTGGGACTATAGGCACCCACCACCACACTTGGCTAATTTTTTTTGTATTTTTAGTAGAGACGGGGTTTCACCGTGTTAGCCAGGATAGTCTCAATCTCCTGACCTTGTGATTCGCCTGCCTCGGCCTCCCAAAGTGCTGGGATTACAGGTGTGAGCCACTGTGCCTGGCCAAATATATCCATTTTTTTATGACCTTGCTACATATTGTACTGCTTTAGATACTATTTTGTGTTGAATGATAATTTCTTTATTATAAAATGAAAGGTAATGTTACTTTTAGTATAGATTTCTATGGATTTTATTACTATTGATATTTGTATTTGTCCTTGTGTAAATAATCTATGTATTCATGTATCTATTGAGTACTATTCTTAGCACTGGGACTACAGCAATAAGCACAGCAGGCAAAGTGTTTTTGAAGAGCTTATATGCTCACAGAGGAGATAATAAACTAATAAAGGAAGAAGGAAGGGAGGGAGGGACAGAAGGGAAAGGAAAGGAGGCAGGAAGGGAGGAAATGAATATAACACAGTGATAGGTGTGGTGTGGAAAAATAAAGCAGCATAAGGAAACTATGTTAGTTAACTGGAGTGTGATTTTACAGGTTAGTCAGGAAGGGCCTCTCCTTTAATGTGACTTTTGAACAATACTCAAAGTGATGGGCCATGTAGGACAACATTGAGGACCTAAGGAACAGCAGGTGCGAAGGCCCTGAGGTAGGAGATTGCATGGCATTGTTTGAAGGGGAGAGTGCTAAGAGATACAAAGATTTCTGTAAACCTTATCTTTCAGTCCTTCTGTAAAAAGATCTGTTTGTACTATCATTTTTTAAGTTTCTGTGAGCCACTTTCTTATTCTCTCAGTGTTCTTCTTAAATGGCAGTCTTTCTAATGCATGCACTAACTTCACTCATCTGTTTGAGAATATTTCGTTTTTCTTGTTTCTGGTTCTCTGGTATGTATGTGCAGCAGTTTTTTCCGTGCTCCCTAGATTATTTTATTTATGCCATTTTCATTGCTTATTGTCATTCTGGTGGGTTTTCTGGAAGCAGCAGAAGCAAACACATATGTTTTGATACTGTGTTTTCATCTCCCACTTCTTTACCCCCTTCATGCTTCCCCACCAGGTTAGAACCTAAAGGTTTTCACTTTTTTTTTTTTTTTTTGGAAGATGTAATCAGGCTGGAGTGCAGTGGCGCAATCTTAGTTTACTGCAACCTCCACCTCCCGGGTTCAAGCAAATCTCCTGCCTCAACCTCCCTAGTAGCTGGAACTACAGGTGCACACTGCCACGCCTGGCTAAATTTTTGCATTTTAGTAGAGCAGGGTTTCACTGTGTCATCCAGGCTGGTCTGAGCTCAGGCAGTCTGCCCGCCTCGGCCTCCAAAAGTGCTAGGATTATAGGCATGAGAGTGGAGAAACCAGCCCCCAATATTTCAACATAGGTTCTTTTCTATTTTGCCTAAGTGTCAGCCAGTCTGAGAAATAAAGGGAAAGAGTACAAAAGTGAGAAATTTTAAAGCCAGGTGTCCGGGAGTGACATCACATGTTGGCAGGTTCTGTGATGCCCCCTGAGCCGCAAAACCAGCAAGTTTTTATTGGCAATTTTCAAAGGGGAGGGAGTGTACGAATAGGGTATGGGTCACAGAGATCATATGCTTCAAAGGCAGTAAAATATCACAAGGCAAATGCCAGGGCAAGGTCACAAGGCCAGGATGAAACTAGAATTGCTGATGAAGTTTCATGTCCCACTGTGCATGCATTGTCATTCACAAACATCTTAACAGGAAACAGGGTTCAAGAGCAGAGAACCGGTCTGACTAGAATTCGCCAGGCTGGAATTTCCTAATCCTAGCAAGCCTGGGGGCGCTGCAGGAGTCTAGGGCGTGTTTCATCCCTATCTACAACTGCATAAGGCAGACACACTCAGAGCGGCCATTTTAGAGGCCTCCCCCTGGGAATGCATTCTTTTCCCAGGGCTGTTAATTATTAATATTCCTTACTGGGGAAAGAATTCAGCAATATTTCTCTTACCTGTTTTCGGCAATAAGAGAAACATGACTCTGTCCTGCCCGGCTCCCAGGCAGTCAGACCTAATGGTTATCTCCCCTATTCCCTGAACATGGCTGTTATCCTGTTCTTTTTTCAAGGTGCTCAGATTTCATATTGTTCAAACACACATGCTTCACGAACAATTTGTGCAATTAACGCAATCATCACAGGGTCCTGAGGTGACATACATCCTCAGCTTACAAAGATGACGGGATTAAGAGATTAAAATAAAGACAGGCATAGGAAATGATAAGAGTATTGATTGGGGAAGTGATAGATGTCCGTGAAATCTTCACAATTTATGTTTAGAGATTGCAGTAAAGACAGGCGTAAGGAATTATAAAAGTATTAATTTGGGGAACTAATAAATGTCCATGAAATCTTCACAATTTATGTTCTTCTATCATGGCTTCTGCAGGTCCCTCTGTTTGGGATCCCTGACTTCACACAACAGTGTGAGCCACACCGCACCTGGCCCATTTGTTTTTTTTATTGCATGTCACACTGTATTTTCCTCATCATTTTGAATGTCTGCCTTTTTAGCTGGGCATGGTGGCTTGCACCTGTAATCCTAGCTACTCAGGAGGCTGAGGCACGAGAATCACTTGAACCCAGGAGGCGGAGGTTGCGTTAAGCCGAGATCGTGCCACTGCACTCCAGCCTGGGCAACAGAGCAATACCCACTAATATGTAGGTTCACCAAATTGTTATTGAACATGTTTTTCTTTATATTCCCTGCCTACGACATTGCCTCCCGGACTAAGTAGTTAAATATTGGTTGAGTGAATATTGAATGACATCAAGTAGAATTTTCATAAATCTCGTGAAAATATACATTTGAATTTGTGAAATTCATATCAATACAGATTGGATAATTATTGGGATGAGTGAATGAGTGGGCAGGGCAAAACAGCAAAGATGGAACCCTCAGTACAATAACATATTGAGGGGCCTAAGGGTGCTCTGGCAAAGGTGAGGGGTCCAAGGAGGAGAAGAGAACAGGGTCAAAGGGAAAGAGGAGAGCCAAGGTAGAGTATGACAGTCCCAAGTAGGGAATGAAAATGTCTGTTGGACTTGGTGATGAGGGAGTGGCCTGGGACCCAGGGAAGGGCCCATTTAGTGCTGAGAGAAATATGCTGTGAGCAGAAAATGAAGGAGAAGCAAGCAAGTGAAGACTTTTAAGTACAGACTGTCATTTCAACAAGGTCAGCTTTGAAGGAAAAGGAAGAAAGAATAAGAACTCAGAAGAAGCCTGTGGTTTAACAAGGAAAAGACTTGAGTGTATCTAAAAGAGCAGAGAGGTGTCCACCACGGTGGAAGAAACTAAAGAGAGGCAAAAGTTGAATGGAAAGGAGCCCATAGAACGCAATGATTTACAAACTCCAGATCTTGTTCTTTCCAGATTTTCTTGGATATTGCTGCCAGATTAATCTGCCATTTAGTCCTCTCATCCTGTCCAAGTCAAGAGGAGTGCTGTGCCCAGCTCTTCCGCAGCCAGCGTCTCACTCGCTTGACACAAAACGTCTATGGGTAAGTACCGTTACTCCTCTTATGGTGGAAGAAATTGGCTCTGAAAGGTGAAATAGCATGTCAGAATTTGAACACATATCTTTTGTTTTGTTAGGTTTTTACTTTGAGTTTAATGGTAATTCTTGCTTTCTTTCCTTTCCCTGCTGTAAATTCTTGTTTCCTACTATATTTAGTAAAACTAGAAACTTCTGTATCCTGGCCTAATTTTCTTTTCAGCATAATTTCTTCTTTCTGTACTAAAGTTTTGTACAGTTGAAAGCTCTGTTAGATTTTTGCTCCTGTTTTACAAAAGATGAACAGAAACTGCAAATCTAGAAGTGCTGTCCCTGGTGCCAGTATTATCATTGTAAACTAGCTAATGTTGAGAAAAGATAGAAATTATTAGTAATGTGGAAAGCAGTGACTTTTAGCCTCTCATTAGTGGTAATTAGATTTAAATCATGTAATGATGTTAGGTTATGAATGAAACAAAAATTAAGAACATGCATAAAATATTAGAAACCTACTATCAAAGATTATGTGTAAAAATACAGTTGGGGATTCTAGAATCTTTTTAGCTCTCTGGGAAGCCACCCTAACTATCCCTAAACATGGGAGCCTGCTGTCTGTGTTTCACACATGATTTTGAAAAATGTGGGCAGGTGTGGTGGCTCACGCCTGTAATTTCAGCACTTTGGGAGGCCCAGATGGGTGGATCATGAAGTCAGAAGATCAAGACCATCCTGACCAACATGGTGAAACCCCACCTTTACTGAAATACAAAAAATTAGCCGGGCGTGGTGTTGTGCACCTGTAGTCCCAGCTACTCGGGAGGCTGAGGCAGGAGAATTGCTTGAACCCAGGAGGTGGAGGTTGCAGTGAGCCCAGATCGCGCCATTGCACTCTAGCCTGGTGACAGAGTGAGACTCTGTCTCAAAAAAAAAAAAAAAAAAAATTTCAGCTGGATGTGGTGGCTCATACCTGTAATCCCACTGTAATCCTAGCACTTTGGGAGGCTGAGGTGGGCAGATCTCTTGAGGTCAAGAGTTCGAGACTGTCTGGCTAACATGGTGAAACCCCGTCTCTACTAAAAATACAAAAATTTGCCAGGCATGGTAGCACGCATCTATAATTCTGGCTACTTTGGAGGCTGAGGCACAAGAATCACTTGAACCCGGGAGGCAGGGGTTGCGGTAAGCCGAGATCACACCACTGCACTCCAGCCTGGGCAACATTTCAGAGATGTACTGGGTAACTACCTCTGTGTATATGTGTGTGTGTCCATGTAAACATATGTGTATATATGTATAGAAACACAGAATTTATATAGAGGCTCTACCTGCGTGCTCACATGAGCCTCACTGATGTTTAATACATACACATATCTTTGCTTCCATTACTAGGAAAACTGATCTAAAATACTATAATGAGTGTAGAAGTATTCAAAAAGGTCATTCTTCCTTAAATAAGACAGGCCCACTGCTGCCCCAGGGCCTTAGCACTGACTGTTACCCTGTCTGGGAAGCTCTTCCTTAGCTAGTCCTATGACTTCCTCTCTTAGTCCCCCAAAGTCTTGGTTTAAATGTCACCTTTTCAGTGAGGCCTTTCCTTATGACCCAGTTTAAAATTGCAGACCTTTCCTCTCACCCATCATGTTCCCTATATCCATTTAAATGCTTTTATTGTTTTTCTATAAGGTATACCACTTAAAATACTAAGGATTTTCTTATTCCTTTCTCTTGCTAAAATATGTTTCATAAGGGCAGACATTTTTCTGTTTATTGCTATATCCTGAGCACCTAGAACAGTACCTGGCTTGATAAGTATTTATTGAATGAACGATTTATCATGTTCAAAAAATCAGTTTGACTGCTATATGGAGAGAATGCATTGTAGGGTAGCAAGAGTTTAAATAGAAAATCCAGACAGATGGGTATAGAAATAGTCTAGTTGGGTGTTAGGAGTAGCTTAACTGTTACCCAGAGGATGGAAGAAATATAAAAGGAGAAAAGAAATAAATCAACTTGCCCTTTTCAGGAAGCATGGGACCTGCTTGCTGCCCAGTCCCATCCCACACACCAATACTGTGCAAGCTCCCAACCTCTGCTATGGCTTGTGCCAGCCATATGTACTAAGGGGTCTGTGACAGACCAGACACCTCGGTCTGGAGATGCTTGTTCATGTCTTGATGAGTATCAAAGTTATATAAATCCTGTAAGTTAATGAGAGAAGGCAGAAAAAACATTCCAAGCCATTAAGGGAGTATTGAGTATTTCCAGTATTATTACTCAAAAGTCTTGTTTAGGCAAAAAGGAAAGGCAGAGAGAACTGTATGTTGCTTAATGTAAAATATTAATAGTGGTAATGATAACAGCTAATAATCACTGTATCCTTATTACATCCAAGCATAATGCTATGTGCTGTATCAATGAGATAGTAAAATGTCAAGGATCTGAAACATTGTTTAATCCTGGAAGAGCTAGTTTCTGACCTATAATGCTCAGGTTCCAAGCCCACAGTACTCCATCAGTTCTGAGTAAAGCCACCCTAACCAGGCAAGAACCCCTAACTTAAGCCCACAGTACTTCACATCAGTTCTGAGTAAAGCCACCTAACCAAGCCCACAGTACTTCATCAGTTCTGAAGTAAAGCCACCTAACCAAGCCCACACAGTACTCATCAGTTCTGAGTAAAGAAGCCACTAACCAAGCCCACAGTACTCCATCAGTTCTGGTAAAGCCACCCCTAAGCAAGCCCACAGTACTTCATCAGTTCTGAGTAAAGAAGCCACCCCTAACCAACAAGCCCACAGTACTTCATCAGTTCTGAGTAAGAAGCCACTCTAACCAAGCCCTGTTACTCCATCAGTTCTGAGTAAAGCCACCCCTGTAAGCCCACAGTACTCCATCAGTTCTGAGTAAACCACCTACTTAGCCCACAGTACTCCATCAGTTCTGAGTAAAGCCACTATGATTTTCATTTTGGCAGGTAAAGACAGTTACATAATTTGGGAAAATAACCAAGCCCACAGTACTCCATCAGTTCTGAGTAAAGCCACCCTAACGATTTTCATTTTGTAGGTAGACAGTTACATAATTTGGGAAAAATTAAAAATTTCCCCCATCTCAGTTGCCATATTGGTCACGCTTTTGGAATAACATTAAATAGTAGTAGTAATAGCAAGCACCTTTTCCTTGGTTCTGTTACTAGAGAGAATTCTTCTAGGGTTTTATTTTTATTCTTGGTGCAATGCTAATATTTTTGTTTTTGAATCAGGAATGGATGAAGGATACCAATTGAATACTTCTGAAGCATCTATCAGGTTGATCATATGACCTATGACCTATTAATATGATAGTAATAGATTCTTAACAGTGAACCATTCTTTATTTCCTGGATAAATCGTTCTTCGTCCTAGTTATACTCTTGATGTCTAAGCAACTAGCATTGTTTAAAAACATTAAGAGTTCTGGCTCTGATACTACAATGACTTAACAGGGTGGGTCTGCTGGTGACAAATTCTCTTAGTTTTCTTCCATATGAGAATGTCTCTATTTCACCTTCATTCCTGAAAGATTTTTGCTAATACAGAACTCTAGGTTTGTGGTTATTTTCTTTCAGCACTTTGAAATAATTAGTCCACTTCCTTCTGGTATCCATGGTTTCTGATGAGAAATTCAGTTATTCATATTTTTGCCCCACCACCAAGTAGTGTATCAATTTTCCTTGGTTGCTTTCAAGATGGTTTTGTACTTCCATTTTTAGAATTCATTTATGGCTGGGCATGGTGGTTCACGCCTGTAATCTCAGCACTTTGGGAGGTGAAGGCAGGCGGATCACTTGAGGCCAGGAGTTTGAGACCGGCCTGGGCAAAACACGGTGAAACCCTTTCTCTGCAAAAAATACAAAACTGCTTGGGTGTGGTAGTGTATGCCTGTAGTCCCAGCTACTTGGGAGGCTGAAGCACGGGAATCTCTTGAATCCAGGAGGTGAAGGTTGCGGTGAGCCAAGGTTGTACCACTGCACTTCAGCCTGGACGACAGAGTGGACTCCATCTCAAAAACAAACAAACAAACAAAAATTGATTTTGATGCATCTGGGCATGGATTTCTTTGGGTTGACCCTGTACCTATAGGTCGAAGTCTTTTGTCAAATATAAGTTTTTAGCCATGATTTCTTCAAATACTTTTTCAGTACCAAACATTTTCTCCTTCTGTGGAACTCCAGTGAGACAAATATTAGATATTTTGTTGTTGCCCCATACATCCCTGAGGTGCTCTTCATCTTTTTTTTTCTCGATCTTTTCTGTGTTGTTCAGATTGAATAATTTCTTTTAATCTGTCTTCAAGTTAATTCTTTCTTGTTTTCACCCTTCTGCTGTTGAACCTATTTAGCAAGATTTCTGTTTTCCATATCAATAAATAAATGTTTATATATTAAAAATACTGTAGGGCCAGGCGCAGTGGCTCACGCCTGTAATCCCTAAAAATACAAAAATTAGCTGGGCATGGTGGTGCACACCTGTAATCCCAGCTATTCGGGAGGCTGAGGCAGGAGAATCGCTTGAACCCGGGAGGTGGAGGTTGCTGTGAGCTGAGATTGCACCAATGTACTCCAGCAGCTTGGGGCAACAGAGTGAGACTTCGTCTCAAAAAAAAAAAAAAAAAAAACTTGTATGTTTTTCACTTCCAGAATTTCCACTTAGTTCTTTTTTATATGCTCATTTTCTTTGCTGAGATTTTATTTCCATTTCTTTAGAGTGTGTTCACCCTACTTGTTGGAACAAGTAAGGCAGCTGTTTTAAAGTCCTTGTAAGATCATGGTATCATCTCACTTGATGTCTGTTGGTTATCTTTTCCCATGTAAGTCGAAATGCTCCTGGGTCTTTATATTCTCAGTGACTTCAAAAGGCATCATGGGCATTTAGAATGTAATGTTATAAAACTCTATGACTTCTTGAAATCCAAAAGAAAATGTTGGTATTTCTGTTTTAGCAGGTAGTCAACCTCATTGAGCTCAGACTACCAAGTCCAAACAGCTTTCTGTGGGTTGTGGTTTCTATGTCAGTTTAGTTGTCAGAGACTTCACATTGTTGCTTGAATCTTGCTCACATGTGTGTCACTCTGTGGCCAATATGGAATTTAAGCAGCAGACCCTCTTATTCTCAAAGTCCATGTATGCTGCTTAGGGGGTCAGATTCATGCATACGTATCTCACAGGTGAGCCCAGGAGTTCTTAAATAACTTCCAGGGTGATTTTCCCAAATTCTTCCCTGTCTATGTCCGCAGTAGTTTCAGGTTCCCTGTGGCTCTCCTTTTTACTCTTCTGGCTACAGTGCAGGGGCCTGTAGTTGCCCCACTTTGCTGTGACTTCCAGTGACTGTCCTTATGCAGAGCCAAGCAGCAGGAGGACAAAGAAAGAGAAGATGAAGTGGGGCTTCTCACTACCCTTCTTGGGACCACAGCTCCCTTGCTTGGGGAAGAAGGACCCTCTCCTCATGGTTTTGGGCTCCTGTCAGCTCGCAGTGGCGCTGCTGTTGCAGCAGCCACCAGAGGATTGCTTAGGTGCTGGGGTGTAACAGAATAAAGAAAAGGAAGAAAATAGGCAATTCCCCCTGCTGTCTCTAAACATTAGAAGTCCTTTTCCTGCTCCATGAACCGGCCCTAGAGCTTTTCCTGGAGAACCTCCTCTGCCTTCTCCTGCCTCAGTGCCTGTTTTCAGATTGCTGTATAAGTTTAATACAGAAGACAGCTGAGGAAAAACAGGTAAGCTCACCACTGGTTCAGTGGTACTTTGGATTTTGGTCTTCCTCCCCAGTTCACCTGCTACTGTTTACTTTTCAGGGCCCTCAAATAATTGCTTCATGCTTTCTGTTCAGGTTTGTCAGTGAAAGAGACATGGTGGAACAGGCCTACTCCACTTTATCAGGAAGAGGATCCGCCACTTTGGTTTTAATTTGATCTTCTTTGTCTGACTTCTTAAGGTGGAAACAAAGGTCACAGATTATGGGCCATTCTTATCTACTGTAAAAACATTTAAAGCTATGTAATTTCCTCTAAGCATTGCCTTGGTTATAACACATAAAATATTATCTCATTCCATTGTGATTTCTTCTTTGACCTGTCAGAATTTACAAATTCACTGCTTAATTTTCAGACATAAGGATTTCCCAAATAGTTGAAATGTAATTCTTTAGGTGTCTTTTTTTTTAATTGTAATGTTGTGTGTGTGTGTGTGTGTGTGTGTGTGTGTGTATACCACATACATAACATAAAATTGCCATTTTAGCCATTTTTAGTGTATAATTTTTTGGAGGCATTTACATACATTCACATTGTTGTGGAACCAGCACCACTATCCATCTCCAGAACTTTTCATCTTTCCTGATGAAAACTCTATACCCTCTAAGCAGTAGCATCCCATTCCCCACTTCATCCATCTCCAGAACTTTTCATCTTTCCTGATGAAAACCATACCTCCCAAGCAGTAGCATCCCATTCCCCACTCTCTCCAGCCCCTGGTAACCTCTGCTTTCTGCCTCTGAATTTGACTACTGTAGATACTACATTTCCTAATGAAAACTCTAAACCCCTCTGCTGGTAGCATCCCATTCTACTTCCTCCAGCCCCTGGTACTTCTGCTTTCTGCCTCTGAATTTGACTACTGTAGATACTTCACATTTCCTAATGAAAAACTCTTATACCTAAGCAGTAGCATCCCATTCCCCACTTCCTCCAGCCCCCTGGTAACCTCCTCTGCTTTCTGCCTCTCTGAATTTGACTACTGTAGATACCCTCTGCTACTTCTAATGAAAACTCTCTATACCCTCTTCAAGCAGTAGCATCCCATTCCCACTTCCCTCCTCCAGCCCCTGGTAACTCCCTGTTTTCTGCCTCTGAATTTGACTACTGTAGATACCTCACATTTCCTAATGAAAACTCTATACCTCTAAGCAGTGGCATCCCATTCCCCACTTCCTCCAGCCCCTGGTAACCTCTGCTTTCTGCTTCTGAATTTGACTACTGTAGATACCTCACAGAAGTGGAATCATGCAATATTTGTCTCTTTGTGACTGGCTTATTTCACTTAGCATAATGTCTTCAAGGTTCATCCTTGAAGTGGATTCAGCGTTTCACTGCCAGTTTTCATATACTCAAACTAACTTCCTCACTCATGTTTATTTTTTGTTCAAATTGAATATCTAAATAATAGCAAAAATGGTTTAGGAGTACCATTATTACTGAATCTTTCATATTTAAGACTGTGTTTTGCATTTCTCTACATATGTATGGAGTGCTGATCATGTGGAGTTCTTGTCACGTCAGTCTGCCCTCAGTTCTTGCAGGCATGGCCCCACTGTCTTTTGGCATCCTGTGTTCCTGAGAAAATCTCTTCTGCCAGTTTTTTAAAAAATTTGCAGCTAATCTTTTTTTTTTTTTTTTTCATAAGCATCAACTCCTCAGAACTTTTAAGTCTAAATTCCATGAAGATACACTGAATCCTACTATTAAGTTTTCTGTAGTACAAAAATGTTTGAACTTAAAATGATTAATATTTTCCAGAATAGCAAATACTTTGCTCTTTTTCTAATTTGATTTTTGAAATACACAGAAGAATGTGTAAAATCTGTACTGTTCAACAAAAACCTACATACTCTTCTAAGCCCTTTATAAATATTAACTAACTTTTGCTCTGATATCAGCACTGTAAGATAGGTACCATTTAACAGATTTGGACAACAGAGCACAGAGAGGTTAAGAAACCTGCCCAAGGTGTGGTGGCTCGCGCCTGTAATCCCAGCACTTTGGGAGGCCAAGGTGGGCGGATCACGAGGTCAGGAGCTCGAGACCATCTTGGCTAACATGATGAAACCCTGTCTCTACTAAAAATACAAAAAATTAGCTGGCATGGTGGCGGGTGCCTATAGTCCCAGCTACTCGGGAGGCTGAGGCAGGAGAAGGGCGTGAACCCGGGAGGCAGAGCTTGCGGTGAACCAAGATCATGCAGCTGCACTCCAGTCTGGGCAACAGAGCAAGACTCTGTCTAAAAAAAAAAAAAAACCTGCCCAAAGTCACACACCTAATAGTGGTGGAGCTCCAGAGTTCATTTTGAGTTCATTAACTCAAAAGTCCAAAGTTTCATCTTAGTGTTATCATAACCACTGTACCCTTCTGTTTCTCTGCTTCTCTTTTTAGTTAATAACGATAAAGACAAATGAAGAAAAAAGAAAGCAGGCCAGGCACAGGGGCTCGCACCTGTAATCCCAGCACTTTGGGAGGCCAAGGTGGGTGGATCACCTGAGGTCAGGAGTTCAAGATCAGCCTGGCCAACATGGTGAAACACCATCTCTACTAAAAAGACAAAATTAGGCATGGTGGTGCATGCCTGTAGTCCCTGTAGTCCCAGCTACTTGGGAGGCTGAGGCAGGAGAATCACCTGAACCCAGGAGGCAGAGGTTGCAGTGAGCCAAGATAGAGCCATTGCACTCCAGCCTGGGTGACAAGAGCGAAACTCCATCTCAAAAAATAATAACAACAATAATAATAAATAGTAATAATAATAAAGCAAATATCCAGTTACCAGAGCCCAGGTGAAGAAACAGAACATTGCTAGTGCAATGGAAATGCTTGGTGTGCATCTCCTCATTCACATCCTTTTACCTCTCTCTATCCAAAATATAACCATTATTCTAACTTTTGCGATACTTCCTTTCCCTCTTCTTATAGAATTGCCATTTTGCCATTTATCATTGAATCTCTAAACAATATATTTGGTTTTGGTCTGTTTTAAAACTTTAAATTGAATCTTAAATATATATATACACACACACACACACACACACACACACATATACACACACACACACATGCCTTTGCTTATTCATTCATATTGATATGTGTAGCTTTAGTTTATTAATATTCGCTGTTGTCAGTTATTCCATTGTATAAACACTTGACAATCTTGTTATCTATTTTTTGATGACAGGCATTTGTGTTGTTTCCAGTTTTTTCTGTTGTACACAATGCTATGTGAAGAATCATGAATTCTCATACTGTTGCAAGGTAGAGTTACCTAAATATATGTACCTAGTAGTAGACTTGCTAAATCAGCCAATGTGCTTGCTCTAGGTTGTATTATACTATTTTTCAAATGCTTGAATCAGATTGCATTTCCACCAGGAATATGTGGAAGTTCCCATTACTGCATCTTTCCAAAATCTGAAGCTGTCAGTTTGAATTTTTATGTTTTGTTACTTGGGCGGATGTGGTAATGGTATCTTGTTGCAGCGTTAATCGGCTTTCCCTTGGTTACTGTTGAGATTGGGCATCTTTGCTTATGTTTGCAGACCATTCAGGTTTCCTTTTCTTAAGTGCTTATTCAAGTCTTCTGCCCATTTTTCTAGTGGGCTTGGTGTTTCATAAGCGTTATTTTCCAAGTCTCCATTCTAGTTTTTTGTGGGTCATATGTTGCAAATATGTTCTCCCAGTAGGTAGTTTCTATTTTTTTAGCTTTTATTTTTATTTTTATATTTTGAGACAGGATCTTGCTCTGTCACCCAGGCTAGAGTGCAGTGGCACCATCTCAACTCACTGCAAGCTCCACCTCCCAGGTTCACACCATTCTCCTGCCTCAGCCTCCTAGTAGCTGGGACTATAGGCGTGCACCACCACGCCTGGCTAATTTTTTGTATTTTTAGTAGAGACGAGGTTTTACTGTGTTAGCCAGGATGGTCTCAATCTCCTGACCTCGTGATCCGCCCACCTTGGCCTCCCAAAGTGCTGGGATTCCAGGCGTGAGCCACCACGCCCGGCAACCTGCTGGTATTTTCATACTGAGTTTGACAGGTCCTCTGTTTGGGGTCACTTGGTGGTGTGTGTTCAGGGTCACTTGGTGGTGTGTGTTGGGGATCACTTGGTGGTGTGTGTTCGGGGTCACTTGGTGTGTGTTCGGGGTCACTTGGTGGTGTGTGTTCGGGGTCACTTGGTGGTGTGTGTTTTGTGTTTTGGAGGTGGAGCCTGCTCGACTTTCCACTTTTTCTCTCTTTTCACGTAAGCAGATCAGGTTGGAAGAAAGTGGCCTGGTTAATGCATATTTCTTGCTTCATAGGAAAGCTTGTGCCCATAGGCCTTTGGTTTGTTTGTTTAGTGTTGATCTCTCTCTGTTGACTTTGATCAGCAGTCAAAAAGCTGATTCTCAGGTTGCATTTCCAGCCCTCTACCCCTTATTTTGTCTGGGATAAGAAATAGGATCTAAGAAAAGGGAAGTCTGAGTAGCTGCAAGGTCCTTTTCCAGCCTCCTCTCAAACAGTTCAGCAGATGCCCTTGCCTGTCGCTACCACCAGTTCTCATCTTTAAGGAATGGATATTTAGGAAGTAGTAGGATCCTTTAGGACTGTCTTACCCCTGTGAATAAGTTACAGCCTGCTTAAAGTTTAAGGGGAAGAAACCTCTAGATTGTGTCATCCTCCCTTTAAGTTTCATGTATGTTCTGGTACTTTATGTTCCAGAGGAGTATATTCCCAAAGGGTAGTTTACATACTGTATTAGTCTGTCCTCACATTGCTATAAAGAAACACCTGAGACTTATTTATTTATTTATTTATTTATTTATTTATTTTTGAGATGTAGTTTCGCTCGTCACCCAGGCTGGAGTGCGATGGCGCAATTTTGGCTCGCTGCAACCTCCACCTCCTGGGTTCAAGTGATTCTCCTGCCTCAGCCTCCTCAGTAGCTGGGGTTACAGGTGCACACCATCACACCCGGCTAATTTTTTTTTTTTTTTTAGTAGAGATGGAGTTTCGCTATGTTGGCCAGGTTGGTCTTGAACTCCTGACCTCAGATGATCTACCCACCTCAGCCTCCCAAAGTGCTGGGATTACAGCCATGAGCCACCACGCCCAGCTGAGACTGGGTAATTTATAAGAAAAGTTTAATTGGCTTATGGTTCTACAGGCTGTATAGGAAGCATTAGTGCCAGTATCTGCTTCTAGGGAAGCCTCAGGAGGCTTATTATAATCATAGTGGAGGGCAAAGGGGAGCAGGCACATCAAATGATAAAATCAGGAGCAAGAGAGAGTGGCGGGGGAGGTGCTACACACTTTTAAGTGTGTAGTCCTCTTCTCACAGGTCTACTAGGCAGTGCCCCAGTGGGGATTCTACATGGGGGCTCCAATGCCACATTTCTCCTCTGCATTGCCCTAGTATCGGTTCTCTCTGTGGCCTCTGCCCCTGCAGCAGGCTTCTACCTGGACACCTAGGCTTTTCTATACATCCTCTGAAATCTAGATAGAGGTTCCCAAGCCTTAACTGTTGAACTGTGTATACCCACAGGCTTTAATACCATATCAAAGCTGCCAAGGCTTACAGCTTGCACCCTCTGAAGCAGCAGCCTGAGCTGTAACCTGGCCCCTTTCAGCCATGGGTGGATCTGGAGTGGCTGGGATGCAGGGAGCAGTGTCCCAAGGCTGTGCTGGGCACTGGGCCCTCGGCCTGGCCAAGGAAACCATTCAGTCATCCTAGGCCTCTGGTGGGAGGGGCTGCTGTGAAGTTCTCTGAAATGCCTTTGAGGTCTTTTCCCCATTGTCTTGGCTTATTAGTACTTGGGTCCTTTTTACTCGTGTAAATTTCTGCAGCCTGCTTGAATTCCTTCCCTGAAAATGGGCTTTTCTTTTCTACCACATGGCCAGGCTGCAAATTTTCCACTTATTCCCTTTTAAATATCAGTTCCAGTTTTAAGTCATTTCTTTGTTCTCACATCTGAGCATAGATTGTTAGCAGCCAACCCACCTCTTGTGTGCTTTGCTGCTTAGAAATTTCATCCACCAGATACCCTAAATCACCACTCTCAAGGTCAAAGTTCCACAGATCCCTAGGGCAGGGGCACAGTGCAGCCAAGTTCTTTGCTAAGGCACAGCAAAAGTGACCTTTCCTCCAATTCCCAGTAAGTTCCTCATTTCCATCTGAGACCTTAACCAAGACTTCACTGTCCCTATCACTATCAGCATTCTGGTCACAACTATTTAACCAGTTTCTAAGATGTTCCAAACTCTCCCTTATCTTCCTGTCTTCTTCTGGGTCTTCCAAACCCTTCCAACCTTTGTCTGTTACCCAATTATTCCAAAGTCACCTCCACATTTTCAGGTATCTTTATAGAAATTCTCCACTTCCCAGTACCAATTTTCTGTATTAGTCAATTCTCACATTGTTATGAAGAAATACCTCAGACTGGGTAATTTATAAGAAAAAAGGCTTAATTGGTTCACAGTTCCTGTACAAGAAGCATAGTGCCAGCATCTGCTTCTGGGGAGGCCTCAGGAGGCTTACAGTCATGGCAGTAGGCGAGGGGAAGCAGGCACATCAGATGGCAAAAGCAAGAGCAAGAGTGAGGAGGGAGGTGCTACACTCTTGTAAATAACCAGATCTCACAAGAACTCATTCATGATAGAGAGGACAGTACCAAGGGGATGGTGCTGAACCTTTCATAAGAAACCACTCCCATGATCCAGTCACCTCCCATAAGGCCCCGCCTCCAACACCGGGGATTACATTTCAATATGAACTGTGGGTGGGGACACACATCAAACTGTACCACTGGCAGCGCCTCAACGCACCGGGGGATTACAGGCCTGAATATGAACTGTGGGTGGGGACACACACATCAAACTGTACCACCAGGCCCTGCGCCCCGCCTCCAACACCGGGGATTACATTTCAATATGAACTGTGGGTGGGGACACACATCCAAACTGTACCACAAGGCCCTGCCTCCAACACCGGGGATTACATTTCAATGGAAATGTGGGTGGGGACACACATCCAAACTGTACCACATAGATTGTTTACTTCCTATCATATTTTATTTACTTCCTGTATCATATTTCTTTTTTTTCCTTTTTTTTTTTTTTTTTGAGACAGAGTCTCACTCTGTCACCCAGGCTGGAGTGTGGTGGTACTACTTCAGCTCACTGCAACCTCCACCTCCTGGGTTCAAGCAACCCTCCCATCTCAGCCTCCCAAGTAGCTAAGACTACAGGCACCTGCCACCATGCCCAGCTAATTTGTGTATTTTTAGTAGACATGGGATTCCACCATTTTGGCCAGGCTGGTCTTGAACTCTGACCTCAAGTGATCCGCCTGCCTTGGCCTCTCAAAGTGCTGAGATTATGGCCGTGAGCCACCACACCCAGCCTTGACCATATTTCTTAATCCTCATTTTATATCTGTGACCCTCAGACCCAGTGAGACAAGTAACTACTTAAGATGGTGTTAAGAGCCAGGGTTTGAATCCAAGTTTGTCTGACTTTGGGTCAGCAATCTTTACACTGTGTCACACTGTGACATTTTAGGAAGATTAATTTGTGTAGGATTTCTAGGTGGCCTTGTAGGAGGAAAGAAACTGCTGCTAGGAATACCAGGTACAGTGTGCAGGGTCTCCTGATCTGCCTTTCCCAAGCCCAGCTCTTCGGCATCTGTTTCCTTCATTCCATCTTCTTTATGTAGCACCTACTCCAGTGGCCAGTGCCTTCACTGTGCATCCCTCCTGAAAGGGCTCACTCTTTTCTCTGCTTACGCAGTATATCTGCCATCCCCTGCTTTCAGTTCCCCTGTTATCTTTGGACCAGTTCAGTGTTCTTTCTCTCTCTTCCTATTTCTCTACCTAATTTTGGGTGCATCTTTGAAAGCTCTCAAATGTGCTCAACAGTTATTTTAGTTTGAGAGCTAGTTTAATTCTCTCATTCCCACCTTATGCAGTTTCCAGTCGCCCAGCACAGAAACCAATGTGCACTTGAATTTTTTTTTTTTTTTTTTTTTCCCCAGACTGGGAGACAAGACTTGAAACCAAAGCGCCAACTCTGAAGCCCAGTATTACTGAAGATTTATGCCATGGGGTACTAATGGAAAGGGAAGGTGTCTGGCATTCTGCTGTAGGGGAAACCTGGGAACCTAATAATTGGTTAGAGGGACAACAGGATAGTCATCTGAGCCAAGTGGCAGTTACCCCTAAGGAAACCTTCACCGAGAGGAGAGTATGTGGAGGTAATGAATTTGAAAGATGTTCCAGTCAGGATTCAATCCTTCATACACAACAAAGCATTCCTATGGTAAAAAGGCCCCATAACTGTAATTCACATGGAGAAGATGCCACGCAAAATTCTGAGTTAGTTAAAACTCAAAGAATGTTTGTAGGAAAGAAGATCTATGAATGTAATCAATGCAGCAAAACCTTCAGCCAGAGCTCATCCCTTCTTAAGCATCAGAGGATTCATACTGGGGAGAAACCCTTTAAGTGTAATGTATGTGGGAAACACTTCATTGAACGCTTCTCCCTTAATGTACATCAAAGAATTCATACTGGAGAGAAACCCTATAAATGTAATGAATGTGGGAAAGCCTTTAGTCAGAGCATGAATCTCACTGTCCATCAACGAACTCACACTGGAGAGAAACCTTATCAGTGTAAAGAGTGTGGCAAAGCCTTCCATAAGAATTCATCTCTTATTCAACATGAAAGGATTCATACTGGAGAGAAACCCTACAAATGTAATGAATGTGGAAAAGCTTTTACCCAAAGCATGAATTTGACAGTCCATCAGAGAACTCATACAGGAGAAAAACCCTATGAATGTAATGAATGTGGAAAAGCCTTCAGTCAAAGCATGCATCTTATTGTCCATCAGAGAAGCCATACTGGAGAAAAACCCTATGAGTGTAGTCAGTGTGGAAAAGCCTTTAGTAAGAGCTCAACTCTTACCCTACATCAGCGAAATCACACTGGAGAAAAACCCTACAAATGTAACAAATGTGGGAAATCCTTTAGCCAAAGTACATATCTTATAGAACATCAGAGGCTTCATTCTGGAGTAAAACCTTTTGAATGTAATCAGTGTGGAAAAGCTTTCAGTAAGAATTCATCTCTAACTCAACATCGGAGAATTCACACTGGAGAGAAACCTTATGAGTGTGTGGTATGTGGAAAACATTTCACTGGACGATCATCCCTTACCGTGCATCAGGTTATTCACACTGGAGAGAAACCTTATGAGTGCAATGAATGTGGAAAGGCATTCAGCCAGAGTGCTTACCTTATTGAACATCAAAGAATTCATACTGGTGAGAAACCCTATGAATGTGATCAGTGTGGAAAAGCCTTCATAAAGAATTCATCCCTTACAGTGCATCAGAGAACTCATACAGGAGAGAAACCCTATCAGTGTAATGAATGCGGAAAAGCCTTCAGCCGGAGTACAAACCTTACTCGACATCAAAGAACTCATACGTGAGGAATGTTTCCACTGGCCCCTACATCATGATTAACTCTGCAGTAATAATCATATAAGACATACAATGTAGAAACCTAATAAATGTGATGATTGTGGGAATTTTCCAGTTGAAGTAGATCAGATAATACCACTGCAGAGAATTCATCTAAAAGTAGAGAAATCTTGATTCGGAAGGTATAACTTACAGAAGGTTTAAGTAGCTCATATAAACAGTGAAGACTCATGCTGAAGATAAGTTCTGTTATATCATACTGCACATTCTTCTTTGGCCATCAGAGACTTTACACTGGAGAGAAAAATGTGAGCATGTTTAACTGGCAGCCCAGAGACCTGGTATGTCGTCCTCACCTGCCACTGCCTTGGACAAGTCACCCGCTTCCACCAGGTTATGGTTCTTCATTCGGCAAATGAATGACTTTGGAGTTAGAAATCTTGTAGGCTCTCTGTCAGCTCTAAAATGTTACAACCCTATAAATAGAATGAATGCTGGGAAATCTTTGTTCTTTTACAATCTTACGCCGTCTGTATGCTGTCTAGATGCTCTTGTTCCACAGTCTGGTTTCCTTGGGTGTTTTTGATCAAAATTATTTACCTTTACCAATTCCTAGTACCCTTCCATGCCCCTAATCTTCCCCTGCATTGTTACTTTGTCCCCTAACTACAGTCTGGTTTCCATAAGTTAATGGAATAAGTATGCAAATCTTAATGCAATAGCATGCTGTTTTGAGTTCTCAATTAATAGTTCTTAAACTGTCATTAAATGATCATTTAGAAAATAACATAGTCCTATAAGTACAAAGGAATCACATACAAATCTTTGTATCATATTCTGGCTATCAAAGTGGAAAAGAAAAGACAGAAGGGCTGAACACTAACAGACATAGCCATCTGACCTATTAACAAAACGTTGAGGCTGGACAAGGTGGCTCATGCCTGTAATCCTAGCACTTTGGGAGGCTGAGGCAGGATGATTGGTTGATTTCAGGAGCTCAAGACCAGCCTGGGCAACATAGTGAGACATTGTCTCTGCACTCCAGCCTAGGCAACAGAATAAGAACTTTGTCTCAAAACAAAAATAACGTTGCAACTCAAAAACATACTCAAAACAATATAGGGAGATTTTATAGATCTATAGTTATTACGGTAGTTAAGATAGCTTTATTTCACATATTTACCAAGTCATAAATATGTGTTAGATATGATTAGAAAATCAAAATGAGTAAAATACATTCTTTGGTTTATAAGGGTTAAACTAAAAAAGTGTCAGTATGATAGGAGAGGAGAGGAAGAATACAAGCAATCACAAAGCAGAATTTAGGAAATTTGGTAACTGACTAAATGTGCTGCTTGAATGAGAAGGAAGAGTCTAGGATGACTTGGAGTTCTTACTTTGGTAGATAAGGTTGCCATAATTAAAAACACCTATAGTTGCCCAATTTTGTGGGGCAATGATGAGTTCACTTTGGGTACATTTACATGAGTCTGTGGGACATCTGAGGGAAGGGTCCTGATAGCCAGCAGACAGTGATAAAGGAGACACTTGCAGGACTGTCATTGATGGGGTAGGTGGTAAAAAGAAGAAGCAGTAGACGCTAAGTGGAAAAGCAGCAAAAAGAAAAACAGAAAAATCAGAAGTTGGTGCCACAAAGGTAAAAAGATAGTTTTAACACAGGGATAGGAATAGTTAATACTGTAAAATGCTATGGAGGGCAAAGTAAGATAAAAATAGAACTATGTCGGCCAGCTGCAGTGGCTCACACCTGTAATCCCAGCACTTTGAGAGGCCAAGGCAGGCGGATCACAAGGCTAAGAGATAAGACTATCCTGGCTAACATGCTGAAACCCCGTCTCTACTAAAAATGCAAAAAAATTAGCTGGGCATGGTGGCATACACCTGTCGTCCCAGCTACTTGGGAGGCTGAGGCAGGAGAATGGTGTGAACCTGGGAGGTGGAGCTTGCAGTGAACTTAGATTGCGCCACTAAACTCCAGCCTGGGCAACAGAGCAAGACTCTGTCTCCAAAAAAAAAAAAAAAAAATGTAGAACTATGTCCTTTTGTTTGGGCTATCAGTTTAAGACAGATGGCTTAAACCTCTGTTTGAGTTGGTTGAAGAGTGGTTAAGTGTTAAAAAGAAGTTAGCAGCTTTCCTGAGGTGGGGGAGACTCAGAAAGACAACTAGAGGGAGGCTGGGGCTTGGAGCATATCAGAAGAGCTGTGGGCTGCAAACAATGGAAAGCCCAGTCCATGATGGTGTAAGAAAGTAGAGATTGATTTTTCTCACATAACAAATCTGGAGGTGGCTGTCACTTGTTCACAGATAAAACAATTCATTGTCTTAAGTTTAATGGGGTTTCCATCATGGTTACATCATGATGGCCATAGCATCAAGTAAAGTGTCTGCATTCAAGGCAGGAGGGAGGAGGGGAGCACCAGCAACATCAGTGCCTTTGATGAGGAAAGTTTTTCCCCGAGGCCACACAGTAGACTCAGTAGACTCCTGCTTACAGCTTATTGACCACAGTAGACTCCTGCTTACAGCTTATTGACCACAGCTGTATTGCATGGCCACCTCCTAGCACAAGGAAGGCTGTGGAAAGAAGTATTTAACCTTTCCAGCCTCTATAGAGGAGGCAGGCACAAAAAAAGGGGGGTTGAGAATGGTGTTGATTCAGCCAGCCAGCAACCTGCCAGGAAGTGTTTGTATGATTTCAGGTAGGATTGAGCATGTTCAAAACTGAAAAAAAGAGGTGTGGAAGAGTGAAGGTACAGAAAGGAGGGGACATGCAGCTCACAGTGGGAAAATAAGGTCTGGAACACAAGTGGAGGCTGTAGGGATCTCTTTGAACAGGAGAAGGAAACTTTCCACTGGGAGAGACGGGCATCCGCAAACGATGGGTACAGAAGATGTTTGTGGGTGGCAATGGAGGAAGTTCCTGTGAACTCTTAACTGTTTAAACCTGCAGCATCCAGTCTCTGGGCTATGTGACCTCTCAGAGTTAATACCTCTCAGAGTTAACACTGCTCAGAGTTAACACCGCTCAGAGTTAACAAACACCGCTCAGAGTTAACACCCCTCAGAGTTAATACCCCTCAGAGTTAATACTGCTCAGAGTTAATACCTCTCAGAGTTAATATTTTGCCAATTTTGAGTCATTGCCTCCATCCTAGGCTTCAAAATCTTTCATTTTTCCCTTTCTCTCTTGTCCTGTGCCTGCCTTTTGAGCTTTATTTTGCTGCTGTCTTTATCATTTCCATCTATTTTCTACCCATTTCTTTTGTCTGCCTCCTTTCTTCCCCGCTAGTTCTATCTCTTGAGATCATGTGGGGAACAAGAAAAAAATAAAGAAGAAAAATCTGAAGAGAGAGGAGGAGACCCTGTAGAAGAGAGAAATTATTAAAAATCTAAGTTCCTGAGGATACGGCTAGTTTGATGTTTTATTCCCCCTTCTTTCCTGTTCTAACTCCAATGGTTTGTATTTGAATATAGGCAAGGAGACCCAGGATCTGCATGCTGCGTTGAGAACTGTGTGTGTGGAAGGAGGCAGGGGCAGAAGAGTGGAGAATCTCAGTGTCAATGATTTGCCCCATCCTCCTCCAGCCTCCAAACTTGGAATGAGGGGAAGGATTCTGTTTATTTGTGAAACAATAATCTGGAGCGATTGGGTTTCTTTCGTGGAATGTTAGAATTAGGATAGAGGCATTTGGGTGTTAGAAGATGAAAGCACTAGATAGGAGAGCTGATGCTGACATCTTGGGTCATGTGCAAATTTAATTGTAAGCAAAGGAATCCAACCAACTGGGAGGAGTTCTGGGAGTATAAGGGTCTGGGAGGGAGGACCCTTGTTACCATATCCTGCTAAGCCCAAGCCCTTCATTTCAGTGTCCGTTCTCAGGCAGAACTGAAGTTTCAGTAATATGTGAGGAGTTTTTGGTAACAAAGTGCAGTACAGCCAGGCCTTGTGGCACCTGGGAACCACCAGCAGCTAAGCACGTGTGCCTGCTCTCTCCCTCTGTCTTCATCCCCCACCCCTCGCCACTGCTACCACCACCACATGGGTTCTGGTACTGCTTTGTCCATCCCCTCACTGGTGGTTAGATTCTTTTGCTTACAACTAAATTTGCATGTGACCCAAGATGTCACCATCAACTCTCATATCTAGTGAACTTTCATCTTCTAACACCCAAGTGTCTTCGTCCTAATTCTAAAATTCCATGAAAGAAACCCATTTGGTCCTGATCATCCTTTTAAGACAAGCCTCACAAGTCACCTTTTCTGGCTAAGTACCCATCCAGTCAGCTGGTGGGAGGAGGCCTGCCATGTGATCACTGTCCATGCAGTCAAGCCTGTGTGTGGCAAACTGACAGATATGACCGGTATGTCATGAGTTTTTACTGAGCACCTGCTCAGTAGTTACTAGTGATTTGGAGCTCAGAAGGACCTCACGGTAGGGAAGTCTGAAATAAACCAGGAGTTCGGATGCACTAGGTAGCAAGAAACACAGCACCCTCTGGAACTATAGAGAATTGGGTGACCAAGGTATTTCCTCTCTGGCTGGATCATCATCCAGAAGACTCAAATAGGGCCATTCCCTCCACTTGAGCTCTGTGAAATGGGCCTCTGGGCATTTAAAGAGGTTACCAGTCAGGGTTCTCTGACGAATAAAAGTGGAGCTGCAGAATATGGTGCCAGTACCCCTCTCCTAGACACTGCATAGCTTCCAACTGCCTGACTCCTGAAAAATATCACAACAGATCTGGAGGAGAAAGGTCTCTGAAAAATTTATGAATGCTGAGAACTTAATTGAGGTAGGTTATTTCTCTGCCTGTATACACATTGGCATTATCTGATGGTCTGTGGTCAAGAGACTCGTAAGTGATTGGCCGGTGCTGCATGTTACTGTGACAAGGATGAGTAAGACCTTGTTCCTACTCATAGTGTAGTTCATTCAAGCAACTAACATTGAGCTCCTAGCATAAGTCGGCTTCTGTGAATTCCGGGTAAATGACGTCTGATCTCTGCTGTCAAGTAGCTCCTAGCACATAGTGCCATAGAGTGAACAGAAGAGGGGAGGAAATGAGAAGGTGCAGGGAAGAACAGGAGTAATGGCAAGAGAGGCTAAGAGAGCATAGTGTATACTCAGGAAATTCTAAGAGGTGTATGATTTAAGCATAGAGTAGAAGTCAAGAAGTGGGAAGAAATGAGGCTAAAGGAAGATCTTATTACATCACGCTGCAAAGGTCCTAACGGCTTAGCAAACGGACCCCAGGAATTACTGGCTAGTAGCCACTGTCCTGGGGAAGAGGAAACAGACTGGTGATGCAGGTCTTGGTCAAATGTAAGTGTTCATTTGCATATCCATAGTTAATAGAACAGAAGCGAAAGGGGTTCTCCAGACCACATTTTCACCTCCTTTCTCTGAGGAGACTGGTTCCTAAGGAGAATCCTTGACAGAGGCGGGGCCTTCCTCAGTGAATGCTCAGAACAATATAGTGTGTGAGTCCTGGCTAAAGCCAAAGGGTGTGTCAGGCTTCGTATCACAGGTGTCACTGCTGCTCTTCAGCTTGAATAGTGTTTTTGTTTGTGTTAGTTGCCTGTGGAGGGCACCTGTTAGACACTCCTAGCAGACTGCAGCATCACCAGGACAAAGGGGGCAGATAAATGAAGGTTTTATTACTGTTTTCAGTTCTGGAAGACTTGGCCCTTTGTATGTCGTTCTTTGCCATCTGGGTGACAAGTAATAAGAGCACTTTTGAACCTTCCAACATCAACAGGAGAAGGGCTCCTGGTTCCAAGGACATGGGACCTGAGCAAGGCACTTAACAGATCAGTGCCTCCGTTTTCTCATTTATTAATAGGACAAACCTCAGTTTTTGGTTGCATTAGATAATGTAAAGTGCTTATAAAAGTGCCCAACATGGCCAGGCGTGGCGGCTTACGCCTGTAATCCCAGCACTTTGGGAGGCCGATGCAGGTGGATCAACTGAGGTCAGGAGTTCAAGACCAGCCTGACCAACCTGGAGAAACCCTGTCTCTACTAAAAATACAAAATGAGTCAGGCATGGTGGCGCATGCCTGTAGTCCCAGCTACTGGGGAGGCTGAGGCAAGAGAATCGCTTGAACCCGGGAGGCGGAGGTTGCAGTGAGCCAAGATTGCGCCATTGCACTCCAGCCTGGGCAACGAGCAAAACTGTGTCTCAAAAAAAACAAAAACAAAAAAACCTGCCCAACGTGTAGTTAGTGCTCAATACATATTATTCTTATATTCCTGAAAACAATAATATCCAAACTCCTGAGCATAGCACCCAGAACCCTTCCGTATCTCAGAATCATTAGGCTCTCAAAGCAAATGCCTTGTAGAAAGGTTATATAATTGTGGGAGGCTACTTGTAATTGTGGACTGCGGTCATTGCCTCCTCATTGGTTTTCCTGTATCCGCTCTAGTCCCACCACTGTCTGCTCTCCTTGAAGCTGACCGGTGCTCCTATCAAAATGTGCCCAGCCATGTCACTCGGTTTCGAATCTACTCATTTCCAGGCACACAGAATAAATCCAAATTTCCTTCCTTCAAGGCCTGTAGTTACCCGTGCAACAGCATCTCGCACTCTTCCTTGTTCACTAGGCCCTCGCCAGTCATACTGACCTTGCCAAGCCTGGAGTTGACCAAGCACACTTCTCTCTGGACAGCATTTCTGTTGCCTCCGTTTAGAAGGCACTTTACCCACACGTTCACATCGTTTCCTCCCTCACTGTATTCAAATCTCTGCTCAGATGTTACCTCCTCAAAGAGAACTTCCAAAACTGCTGCTTGAAATAATTCCCCGCCCCATCACACCCTGACCCCTAACAGTAGTGTTATGACTATCCGATAAGTATTTTCTACTTGTCTGACCCCTCCTCTAGTACAATTAAAACTCCATGAGTGCAGGGTTTCACAGCCATTTCTCCAGCCCCTGGACTCTGGGTTCTCACTCTCCGGGGCCCAGTTTGAGTGACCTGGAGTCACGAGGGAGGGGAGAGAGAGGGGTTACCAGCGATACTCACACAACATCCTCCCCCTCCTCTGGTGCTTTACGGGGTCCCTGGGAACTGCTACAGGGGCTGCCCTACAGGGGCTGCCCAGCGGCTGCCCCTGGCCTTGCCAAGCACTTGACACATAAGTGCTCCAAAATGTCTATAGAATGAAATCTTCAATAAAACTCTAAACAGAATGCTGTAGTCACTGACACTGCTTCCTAAAACGTGGCCAACGATTCCGCATGTGACAAACAGGTCACGTTCCTGATTTTTTTTCACCACCCACAAAGTTAAAACCCTCTCATCTTTCCTTCCTGAACGCCATGCAAATTACCTATTCAAAAGCAACTAAGTATCTCCAGTTGGATATTCTTAGGCATCATCTCATCCTTGCCAGTCTCTGCAAAATATGGTCAAGAAAAAATACCACCTTCCAAATACCACCCAGCTGTCCAGGATGGAGACTTCCTGGTATCCAGGCTCCTTCCTCTCCCTCTTCCCCACCTCTGAGAAGTCCCCAAGCACGAAGTGTTCTGCGTCCCGAACATTCCAGGGGCCGCCAGCCACCATGGGCTCTGTCCTGAGGTGCCAAGCAGGACATCCCTGCCCGACATCCTGTCCCCCCGCACCGCACACGCGTTAACGGCGTGGCGTCTCCACCCCAGCACGCATGGGCCCGCCCGCGGGGCCAGGCTGGAAGTGTCGGGCGCTTGCCAGGCCAAGGCGCAAACCTGCCGCCTTCCAGGCCTTTTCCGCGCGGTCCCCGTCAGGAACGCGCCCAGTCGCCTCCTACTCCGTCTTCCGCACCTTCCCGTCCTCTCTCGTCGGCGATCGGGCGTCGCTCCCCTGGACTAACCTCCCTTGTCCCATCTGCAGCTTTTCGCTGGTCTGCATCTTCCTGGGCCTTCGTGCAAGGCAGAGACCTGGTTCTAAAGCGAACGGAACGGAACCGATTCCGTAAGTTCATTCAGCTCCAGAATCCACCAGGTTCCAGATTCTGATGAGCGCGCCGTGGTCGGCGCGAAGGGGCCTCTGGGAAAGGTAGTTTCCGCGCCTAAAGCCTGGGGGCGGGGCCGTGTTCCCGCAAGCGCAAGGCAGCACGGTCTCCGCCGATTCTCCCTCTGGGAGGTGGAGTCTGGCCGGCGGAACCGCAGCGGCCCTGAGACTTGTGGGAATTCGGCCCAGCGGTTCCCAGGGCAACGCGCAAGCGCAGTTCAGCTCCCGGCTGCAGACTCCAGCTCATTGTGTTCTGACTGCGATGTGGCGCTTGCGATCTCTCGCCGCCGGCAGAGGCTCCTCGAAGGGCGACACGGGGGCGACCAGGCACGGTGGTCAAAGCCGCAGAGGGAGAGCGGGAGCGGTCGTGAGGTCGTCTGGGGAGAAGGGCGGAGGCAAAGCCGAGGAGGTGCGGTTGTGGTCCCTTCTGGAGGACGCTGATCCAATGCCCCAAACTTCCCGGAATGTATGTCTGAGATTTGATCCCAATCAGAGAGAGGGAGGACGGCCAGGGGTGGTCATCCTGGGCTTGGGGTCGAGTCTGTGAGTGCCTGTGGAGGGATGGAGCCAGGGCCTCTGGCCTGTGTCTTGGAGCGGACTCTGAGAGGCCCGAGGTTTCCGCTCAGGTGATAGATACGCGCCTGGCGTGGTTCCGAGGCCGGAGGCAGCCGGTGCAGCAGCCCCCGAGGGACCCGAGGGACCCGGCGAAGCGGCAGCGGCGGGAGGGGGTTGTGTGTGGTTAGGGCTCCTAACCCTTCCCTCTCCCCTCCCCCCAACTCACACAAACGCCGCTTCTGCCCACCCGTGACTCCAGGCCACCCAAACTGGGCCCCAGAGAGTGAGAACCCTGAGGCCAGAGAAGGGTTTGCCTGAAAGGCTGCGACAGTGAAGAGCCAGCCTTCTTAGCCTCCTTTTTGAGGAGGAAGAAGCCGACCCTCCTTTTCCTCTTCTCCTGTCACTCCCAGATAAGGCAGCTGTTCCAAAGCCGCCGAGGGAGAGCCGAGCGCTCTTCCAATCCAATCGAACCCACGCTCTGCCCTCAGTTGCCTCTCCCCAGCGCTCCCACCTTTTCGGGTACATCCTGGTGGATTCTGGAGCTGAATAACTTGTTAAAGAGATAATTCTCGGCCGGGTGCGGTGGCTCACGCCTGTAATCCCAGCACTTTGGGAGGCCGAGGCGAGCTGATCACCTGAGGTCAGCAGTTCGAGACCAGCCTGGCCAATATGGTGAAATCCCAGTCTCTACTAAAAACATAAAAATTAAGCAGGCGTGGTGGCAGGTGCGTGTAATCCCAGCTACTCAGGAGACTGGGGGAGGAGAATCGCTTGAACCCGGAAGGCGGAGCTTGCAGTGAGCCAAGATCATGCCATTGCTCTCCAGCCTAGGTGACAGAGCGAGACTCTATCTCAAAAAAAAAAAATTATCTTGAGATCGCCCAGTGAGGCTGAAGGGAAAGACCAGAGGATGGGTGGAAGGCATGAGATCTGGGCCTGCAACAGGCTTTCTGCAAGGAAAAGTCAATGTATATTACCCTCTGAAGTAGGAGAGAGAATGGGGAGCAAACAGGAACCAAAACACTCACTGCCTGGGGTCCTGGCGTCCTCCCAGGATGTGAACGCTCACTGCCTCGCTCTGGACTGCTGTATGAGAGCTTTTGACCCAGTCCTCTCCTAACAGCAGGTGTGTAGACCCTTCTAGCCTGAGGAGTTCTGCAGGTGTGAAGCTCCACACCTGCCTCCATAGCACTTTGCCTGTCTCTAAGAGGGCTCATCGGAGAAGAAAGAATGGCTGTCAGCCACCTGCCAACCATGGGCCAGGTGAGTGGGGGTTTCTTCCCCCTAAATTGCTTTCTGGATTTGAAGAGTGTGGCATGTTTCCTTCTTCAGATCGGGAGCTTTTCTCCCAATCCAGTCCCACCCAGACACTGACCTCAGTTGCCTCTCCCCAACCACCACCCACCCCCAACCCTCACCCCATATCTGGCTCATCCTGGTGGGTGTAGGTATAACTTGCTAAAGGTCATATATATGTCACAGCTGAGACTGGAACCCAGGTTCCTGTGAAATCAAAACCTGTACTCTTTTCACTAACAAGTAAGATTAGGGATCTGAAGTGGTAAAGGCATGTATTAGTCCCTTTTTGCCTTACTCTAAAGAAATACCTGAGGCTGGGTAATTGATAAGAAAAGAATTTTAATTGGCCCACGGTTCTGTAGGCTGTACAGGAAGCATGGTGTCAGCATCTACTTCTGATAAGACCTTTAAAAGCTTCCAATCATAGCAGAAGGTGAAGGGGGAGCAGGTGCATCACACGGTGAGAGAGCGAGCAAGAGAGAGAAGTGGGAGGTCCTAGACTCTTAAACAACTGGATCTCATGTGAACCAGCTGAGCGAGAATTCACTCATCACCAAGAGGACGGCACTAAGCCATTCGCGAGGGATCTACCCCCTTGATCCAACAGCCCCCACCAGGCCCCACCTCCAACACTGGAGGTCACCTTTCAACAGGAGATTTGGAAGGGACATACATCCAAGCCGCATCAGGGCAGTGCCTCACACAGAGCTCAAAGAAGGGCATTGTGGGAACACTTTTGAGGAAGTGTGACTTACTAGACTCTTTTTCTTTTATGAAATTTGGCTTTTTTACCAATGAAATATATTCAAAAGACTATGCTTCCAAAAAGTCCTATAATTTCCTAAAGCACTTGAACAGTCCTAGCATCTTTAGAATAAGAATATGGACTGTGCTTTGAAAGAGACAGCATTCGTTTGGGCATATACATTCTGATAGATTTGGTTAAATTGTTCTAATTCCTTCACATTTAAACCTCCCCAAGGACTGGAATGTGTGGCAGGAATCACTGGAAAGGATGACCACGTAGGTGGGAGCGCCATGTTCAACATAGCACAGCTCAGCGGCTGCTCCCCTCCTCTTGGCTTCTGACTTGTCACTTGGGACCTGTCTCATGCACCACTTTTTCTGTGAAACCTGTCTCCACCCACAGTGCCCGTCTGCTGTGATATTTTCCTTCCCTAACCTTTTCCTCGAAGTCACTGCTGGTGTCGTACAATTTATCTTGTGTTTAGAGGCTGCCTTAATTTGGCTGCCATTCAACAGACATACGTTAGGGCTGTAAAATGTGCCAGGAAGTATGATCTGGGCTACAAATACAAAGTGAACGATAAATGGTCCCTGACAAATGGGTTCATGGCTTCCATCAAAGTGTTTCTTGACTGCCTGCCATGGGCCACGTATCTGGGTGCAGGTAACAGAAACCTAATTCAGACTGCCTTAGGCAGAAGCAGGCACTTATTGGAAAGATATGGAGGTGTTTCCCCAAAAGCAAAGGCGAAGACACAACTGGATGTTGACTGTGGAAGTGGGGTCTACAATAACCTGGGAGTCTTTTCTCATGGACCTTTGGTTTCTTCTCTGGGTTTCTGCTTACCTCTTCTCTCTCAGTGAACACCAGCTCCCTTAACTTCTCAGCCAACTGGGAAGACGAGAGCTGTGACAGCTACTGGATTTTACGTGCTAGGTCAGGTTTCGGGTACACCTGTGTGTCAGGACAGAGACTGTCCTCTGTGGCCCCATCTCAGAGTTTCTATGAAAGGGACTAGTTCTAATCAGAAGGAACAAGGTCCTATTGTGTAGAATGGCTAGTTCCATGGGACCCGCGTGTGTATGCACATATGCACACCTGTGCATGCGTGTGTGTGTGTTGAGGGTGTGTGTCACAGGGTGTGTGGGGGTATTTGTGTGTGTGTGAGTGTGTTCTGGTGTGTGTGTGTGTTTGGGTGTGTTCGGGTGTGGGTGTGCTTGCGTGTGTGTCGTGTGTGTTGAGGGTCAGTGGGGGGATGTGTAGCGGTGTGTCTTTGTATGTGAGTTTGTGTGTCTCTGTGTGTGTCTCTATGTTTGTATGTGGGGGGGTATGGGTATGTGTTGTGTGTATGTGCGTGTGCACTTGTGTGTGTCTTTGTGTGTTTGCGTTTGTGTGTGTATGTGGATGTATGGATATGGGTGTGTGTGCACGCGTGTGTCTCTGTGGGGGGTGTGGGTATGGGTGTGTGTTGTGTGTATGGGTGTGTGTTGTGTGTGTGTGTATGTGGAAGGGTGTGGATGTGTGTGCGTCTCTGTGGGGGAGTGTGGGTATGGGTGTGTGTGTGTGTCTCAGGGGTGTGTGTGCGCGCTTGTGTATGTGTCTCAGGTGTGTGTATGGGTGTGTGTTGTGGGTATGGGTGTGTGTTGTGTGTATGTGTGTGTGTTTGTGTGTCTCTGGGGGTGTGGGTATGGGTGTGTGTTGTGTGTATGGGTGTGTGTTGTGTGTGTGTGTGTGTGTATGTAGAAGGGTATGGGGGTGTGTGTGTGTGTCTCTGGGGAGTGTGGGTATGGGGGTGTGTGTGTGTATGGGTGTGTGTTGTGTGTGTGTGTATGTAGAAGGGTATGGGGGTGTGTGTGTCTCTGTGGGGGAGTGTGGGTATGGGGGTGTGTGTGTATGGGTGTGTGTTGTGTGTGTGTGTGTGTGTATGCGGAAGGGTATGGGGGAGTGTGGGTATGGGGGTGTGTGTGTGTATGGGTGTGTGTGTGTATGTGTGTATGGGTGTGTGTTGTGTGTGTGTGTATGTAGAAGGGTATGGGGGTGTGTGTGTCTCTGTGGGGGAGTGTGGGTATGGGGGGGTGTGTGTGTATGGGTGTGTGTTGTGTGTGTGTGTGTATGCGGAAGGGTATGGGGGAGTGTGGGTATGGGGGTGTGTGTGTGTATGGGTGTGTGTGTGTACACCCTGAAGAAAAGCAGGAGTTGCTGAGCAGCCGCAGATAGGTGTTGAGTACGTGGGCCGTGTTCCAGATGTGGGGAAGGCCAGGAGATGTGGAGACAGACAGCCCACATGTTGGAGTTAACAGTCCAGTGGGGGAGACAGAGTAAACCAAACATCACAATAAATTGGGGCAGTGTCTTGATGGGTCCTCATAGACAACTGCAGGAGCCGTCAGGGAAGGCTGCGCTGAGCAAGCGGTGTCTATGCTGAGACCTGCATAGGATTTGGTCCCCTGGGGTGAGGGGAGAGGCAGGGCTAGGCGGTGTGAGGGAGATGGAGAAAATGTTCTGGGCTGAATGGATGGCAAGTTGGAAGTCCCAGTGCTGAGGAAGCCTATCTTCACCACCATATATGTTTCTTCAGAGTGGGGAGCAATGTCTAGTCCAAAGCTAGGCCTCCAGGAGACCCTGAAGAGTGACTAACTTGCCACAGAACGCCAGCTCCCTGTATGCCAGCAGTCCTGTAAATCTCCACAAGCTTCTAGGGGCTGCCAGTCTCTTTTCTAGAGAACCGTGTGCATGGGTAGCCCCTGGTCAAGGAGAATGAATTTGCTGTTGCAGGAATCGGTGACCTTCAAGGATGTGGCTGTGCTCTTCACCCAGGAAGAGTGGGGGCAGCTGAGCCCAGCCCAGAGGGCCCTGCACAGGGACGTGATGCTGGAGAACTACAGCAACCTGGTCTCACTGGGTAAGTGGGACCCCTGCAAGGTTTCTCTTCACTTTTGGGGATCTCTTTAGGACCTTTCCATTGACACCATACAGAAGATTCGGTTGGACCAATTGAGGACGCTGTCTTCAACGGTGCTATTAATACTTACTGTCCTTGGTGTCCTGGGCACAGGCCTCTTTTGGAGTCCACTGCGGATGCCTCAAAAGTGACTAGGGTCAAACGCTTTCTTTCTGGCAAGGAGAGGAACATGGGAACAGGTTGTGTCAGGCCTCAGTCATCTTTTCCTCCCGCTGGGAACACACCTGGCCCTGGGCTTTCCTATCAAGTCCTCTTTTCCAGCAAGTTCTGAGGACCAGGCTTTGTCTTTGCAATGATTTTTATCTCTTGTATAAACAGATGTGGTTTATTTTTGTTTCCCCTTAAAAACAGGACTCTTAGGACCCAAACCAGATATGTTTTCCCAGCTAGAGAAAAGGGAAGCGTGGATGCCAGAGGATACCCCTGGAGGCTTCTGTCTTGGTAAGAATCATGTGTGTGGGAGACACCGGGAGGAGCCCTGCTGGGTAGGGAAGGCTCCGTAGGGAAGGCAGCGAGGCTCGCAAATGCACCAGTCTGTGAATTGAGAAAAGAGCCTCTTTCACCTTTGTTCACCTTAATACCTTGTTACTACATTCGTTCTAGCCTGCACTGCCAAAATGTAGCAGGCCTGGACCCTCCCAGCAATGATTTTTCTTCTCTCCCTCTTTGGCATAGATTAGTAGAGTCTGGTCTAGAAAAGACTCAACTTCATCTGGGCAGTTCTCCCCACAGCCCATTCCTGGGTGTCCTGTTCAGCATCTGACAGTGCAATCTGTGCCTGCCCTTCTCTCATGAGGAGCCACAGCACGGCAGCTTCTGGTCCTAGGAGCCAGTTTTCGTGTGCCTGCTAGGTATCTCCTCCAGCTACACGTACTTTCCTCAACTACCTCCATATGTGTTTGCCCACGTGGATTCTTTCTCCTCTGCGTTTTGCCGGCCATCGTTGGCTGCGAGTGCCATGGAGACCAGGTTTATTGTATATTTCACTGTGTTACTCATACCTATCTCGGTGCTTGGCACCTAGTAAGTAGCACAGATTTGTTGCCTGGGGATACAAAAGATATGACAGTTTGGTGACTGTTACTTGTCTGAGGAGCTCGTTGTGTCTGGTGGCTTAAGGGCAGTGATGTGTTTCGCTCCCTTAATCCCCAGTATTCTAGAGTGCTTAGTGCCTTACCCAAGACTGTAGCGTTTCACTATCAGCTAGCATTTTGCAGAGTGTCATGTATTTTTACAAACCTTTTGTTATAGATTTTCCACAGTAACCCAGTGTAGTAGGCAGGAATTTATATCCTACAATAAATAACTGTGTACCTGGAATATCTAGAACCCAATCTGTTATGGAAATATCTTTTTTTTTTTTCTTTTTTTTTTTCTTTGAGACGGAGCCTCCCTCTGTCACCCAGGCTGGAGTGCTGTGGTGCAATCTCAGCTCACTGCAACCTCTGCCTCTTGGATTCGAACAATTCTCCTGCCTCAGCTTCCCGAGTAGCTGGGACTACAGGCTTGCGCCACCACGCCTGGCTAATTTTTGTATTTTAGTAGAGATGGGGTTTCACCATGTTGGCCAGCATGGTCTCAAATTCCTGACCTCAAGTGATTCACCCACCTCAGCCTCCCAGAGTGCTGGGATTACAGGCATGAGCCACCTCACCTGGCCAGAAATTAAATATCTTAATTCTAAAACTCACTTGTCAAAAAAATTTTTAATATATCCAATAGCATTCTGAATAATCTATGAATCTGTATGTTCCATTACCAAACTAAGACATTTTAAATATTTTATTCTGTATTATACAAATAGTCTTATAACAAAAATGGAGGCAATTAAAAGAAATTCATCCACAGTTCTACCACCTTGGCATCACTGTTTTTACCTAAATCATTCAATCATCCATTCATTCATGATTCAAGGAGTCTGATTCTTCATTGTACCCTTGAGAGAGGAATATGGAGGGAGGTGAAGAAGACTTTTGTGCCTACAGAGATTTCATAGTCAGGTGTGGGTGATGACATGAAAATACAGCCAGCCCCAGTTGAGTGTACCCGGGCCCCTCCCCACACTCTGTTTCCGCAGTCATGATTTCTGAGTTTCCTGGAGATGCAGCACTGAGGCTGGTTTGTGAAGGATGATTAGCAGTTAGCCAGTCAGACATCAAAGAAGACTTAATTTGTGACTCAAGAAAGTTTTATAGCTTTTCCATTTCCTATTAAAATTTTATGTGTATATATAATTTATGTAAATTTAAATATATATTTTATATAAATTATTCCGTGAATTTATTTATATTTAAATAATAAATTTAATGTATAATTTATATAAATTATATGTGTGTATATATGTGTGTATATATATTTTTTTAAGACACAGTCCCCTTCTGTTACCAGGCTGGAGTGCAGTGGTGTAATCATGGCTGTCTGCAACGTTGAACCTCCTGGGCTCAAGTGATTCTCTTGCCTCAGGCTCCTAAATAGCTGAGACTATAGGTGCCTGCCACTGCCTGGCTACTTTTTATTTGTTTTTTATTTTTTATTTTATTTGAGATGTCACCCAGGCTGGAGTGCAGTGGTGCAGTCTCGGCTCACTGCAACCTCCGTCTCCCAGGATCAAGTGATTCTCCTGCCTCAGCCTCCCAAGTAGCTGGGATTACAGGCACCCGCCATCTCGCCCAGCTAATTTTTTGTATTTTTACTAGAGATGAGGTTTTGTCATGTTGGCCAGGCTGGTCTCAAACTCGTGACCTCAGGTGATCCGCCCCCCTCAGCCTCCCAAAGTGCTGGGATTACAGGTGTGAGCCACTGTGCCTCGTCTTTTTTTTTAGTATTTTGCCCAGGCTGATCTCAAACTCTGGACTTCAATCCTCCTGCCTCAGCCTCCTAATAAAGTTATATTTTTAAAAAATAGATCTTCTATTTTGTTTTTTGTCCACTGGGAGTTTCTGCTGTAAAGAAGTGCTGGTCATTTCCAAATAACTAGTATTGTCACTTGTCAGTTCCTAGTTGATATTGTTACTTCCTAATTCATATTCATTCTCAAAATATTTGTTGGATTCATTTTTAGTTTTTTTCTCTTATTTCTGTTTCTTTTCTTTTTGTTTGTTTGTTTGTTGTTGTTGTTTGAGATGGAGTCTCGCTCTGTCACCAGGCTGGAGTACAGTGGCACGATCTCGGTTCACTGCAACCACTACCTCCCGGGTTCAAGCGATTCTCCTACCTCAGCCTCCCAAGTAGCTGGGATTACAGGTGTGCACCACCATGCCCAGCTAATTTTTGTATTTTTAGTAGAGATGGGGTTTCACCATGTTGGCCAGGATGGTCTTGATCTCTTGACCTCGTGATTCGCCCACCTCGGCCTCCCAAAGTGCTGGGATTACAGGCATGAGCCACCGCGCCCGGCCTCTGTTTCATTTCTTAATGACTGGCTAAGACATCAAAGACCATAGAACACTGATAATAGGTTTTCAAGGAATTTGATCTAGAAATTTTCCATCGTTGCACTAATTAGTCATGGTTTAGAATACACACTTTTTGTGTGTGTGGAGACAAAGTCTCAGTATGTTGCCCAGGCTGGTCTCGAGTTCCTGGGCTCAAGTGATCCGCCAGCCTCAGCCTCCCAAAGTTCTGGGATTACAGGTGTGAGCCACCGTGTCTGGCTGACACTTATTTTTAATCATACGAAGAAAAAGTCCTTGGTAAATACCTTTCCTTCTTAGTTTTTCTATTCTCTGTGCCATGAGCTAGGGGAAGGGGAGAAAGCTGACATTTGAGCACCTGTGGATCAGCACCCTGCTGAAAAATTTGGAGGGATTTGTGTTGGCCTCCCCTTTTAATCCTTACAACCTGTGAGGCAAGGATGACTGACTCCACTTCGCAGAAAATGGAGCCTCAACTGCTGAATTAAGCTGGACTGATGTAATGCTGCTATTAAGAGGCGAGTCAGGGTTAGCATGAAGCCAGCAGGAGACTCATCCGGCCCTTCAAGTGTTGCACTTTCTTCCCTTCTCCAAAATTGTTTTAATTACATATAAATTGTTTACTCACCAAACGTAAAGAAAACTGATTCCTTAAGGCCAGGCACGGTGGCTCACGCCTATAATCCTGGCACTTTGGGAGGCCGATGTGGGTGGATCATGAGGTCAGGAGATCGAGACCATCCTGGCTAACACAGTGAAACCTCATCTCTATTAAAAATACAAAAAACTAGCCGGGCATGGTGGCAGGCGCCTGTAGTCCCAGCTACTCAGGAGGCTGAGGCAGGAGAATGCCATGAACCCGGGAGGTGGAGCTTGCAGCGAGCCGAGATGGAGCCACTGCACTCCAGCCTGGGCGACAGAGTGAGACGCTGTCTCAAAAAATTAAATAAATAAAAAAGAAAACTGATTCCTTAATTGAGGAGTAGCTAATACCTTTTATAATTTCTTCCTTATTTATTAATCTGTTGAGGTTTATTTTTGCTACATCAATTGTATGTTTTACTGTTTAGCTTTATCTTTTTTGAGTTATAAAATGTATTAGATTACAACTATGTATTATCTATGATGTTAACATTATATATTATGTCCTCTTATTTCCAATTTTATCTTAACTTTTTTTTCTTAAATTTGCTTAGAATTTCTTTTAAAGAACCATTTCTTTTCTTTTCTTTTTTTTTTTTTTTTTTTTTGAGACAGAGTCTCACTCTGTTGCCCAGGCTGGAGTGCAGTGGTGTGATCTTGGCTCACTGCAACTCACTCAGCCTCCTGGGTTTCAAGCAATTCTGCCTCAGCCTCCTGAGTAGCTGGTACTACAGGCGTGTGCTACCACGCCTGGCTAATTTTTGTATTTTTAGCAGAGATGGGGTTTCACCATGTTGACCAGGATGGTCTCCATCTCCTGACCTCGTATTTTTTTTTGAGACAGAGTCTCACTCTGTTGCCCAGGCTGGAGTACAGTGGTGTGATCTTGGCTCACTACAACCTCAGCCTCCTGGGTTCAAGCAATTCTGCCTCAGCCTCCTGAGTAGCTGGTACTACAGGCGTGTGCTACCACGCCTGGCTAATTTTTGTATTTTTAGCAGAGATGGGGTTTCACCATGTTGACCAGGATGGTCTCCATCTCCTGACCTCGTAATCCTCCCATCTCGACCTCCCAAAGTGCTGGGATTACAGGCATGAGTCACCGCGCCTGGCCTTAAAGAGCTGTTTCTTATTTATTGCTCTTACATGTAATTTCTACACACACCATTATCATTTCTTTGTTTCACTATAAAATAATTTTTTTTTTTTTTTTTTTTTTTTTTTTTTTTTTTTTTGAGAGGGAGTCTCACTCTGTCACCCAGGCTGGAGTACAGTGGCGCAATCTCGGCTCACTGCAAGCTCCACCTCCCAGGTTCAGACCATTCTCCTGCCTCAGCCTCCTGAGTAACTGGGATTACAGGCGCCCGCCACCACGCCCGGCTAATT